ACTGCACCAGGGCAATCCAGAGCACACACAACTAAGATTGTTAAACGGGTTTAAAACCACTTTACAGGACGATAAAAAGCTCAAAGTGGTTCCTTGTGTTTACAGTACTTCTGATAAAAGCATATCTATCCCTTGAAGAACATTAAAAATACTTTCTCTCTTTTGTTCTTCTAGGTTAAGACTAAAAACGCTTAAATCATATCATCATTCCACACCTGATTTTCCAATAGCATGTTTATGCCCAGCTGCGGCCCGGGGTTAGAACGATATTGGCATTTATAGAAACAAACAATGCAATCAGAGGCAGTCTAACATCTATATCCGGGTGTCATTTGATTATAATATATTCATAGGTTTATGAAACCCTCGTATTGGTAATTGATAAATATGCGTCCAATTGAACCTGCCTCCTTTAACCAGTGTTAATCAGTCATCTAACCACAGCATGAACCACGCCTTGCACCCATRCCAGACACACCCTATTACAAACCARCACTGAAGTGGGTGGTAAATCTGGTGACGACCACGGTCCGGAGTSGAGTCCCGGATCAGGAATAACTGTAGCTTGTTTAAARAGATKATATTTTTTCCTTGTAGTGAGTTAACATCACGTCCTTTTCTGTCCTTTTCTCCTCAGGAAAAAACAGCATGTGTGTATTGTCATATCGCAGAATTATGAGTTAAATTCTAATGTAGAGGAAACGTGTAGGACATGACTTTCGAATAGATTGACACTGTCTCAGTTCACCTAGCCGGTCAATTATTTCAGCTACATTAGTCCCAATCAAGCGAACAAACACTTAAAATATCACACCTTCGCTTCTTGGCATTTATACGACGTTGTAGATAAATAAGAAGTTCTTATGCACTGAGCAAACTAATCCATCAAATACCGAAACATGTTAACGTCAGAAAGTAAAAAAAACAACACTTTTTTCAATCTATCACACTTTGATTGATCTGGAAACTCAACTATTAGATTATCATCGAGGCATTTAGATCACGTCAACTCTCATGCTTTTTCGTAGCGTTTTTGAATTTTGCAGTGATGTTTTTTATTACCTTTTGGACAGAAGCAATACAAAAATGCTACGAAAGCGCATCACAGTGAATGAGGTCTGAATAGAGATGAATAGTTGAATATATACTCCACTGGTGGTTAGTCTGACTTTTAAAACGAATCATTAAAACATTTCGTTTTCAAGTGTTCCATAGCGTTAGGTGGACACACAAGGTACCAAGATAGCAGGAATATTTTCCTTGGTTCTAGTAGATTCCTGAACAACGAAATTCTTATCATTTTATATTCTGTTGATCGGATCTTTAAACCACGATTAAGTTTCTCGGCTAATCTAGCCACAGCCACTTCATCCCACTAATGGGAAATTGATATTTTTTCATGATTTCTAAACGAGGAAGGAATTAGTGATGTTTATCATCCCAATGTTATCGGGGCGTGGTGCATTGTGGTTTATCCATGGTTCAAAAATAGCCAACTGCTGTTATTCTACGACTATGCCGGACTCTAGAATTCTCCCTCTACGCGGGGTTCTGTCTTGAAATGCCGTTACTATAGCAACATTGCATGCTTAAAATACTTTGAATGTTATTCCTTACTTGTCCTCGTGATTCGATCCAACATTGCTACGACAAATTTGGACATTTTCAAAACAAGAAAGACGTGTACCGTTGACTCTTACCGCTTTTACTTTGAAGCTTATTAATTGATTACACTGATTTCTAAGAATGGCAGTTTTGCAACAGTTGTACTATTTATTGATTTTTTGCCATATCATTATTTATGCCGTTATTTTTATTTGATGATTGGTAATGATCTTTTTCTGATTGGTATTTCTTTATTATTATTATTAGTGTCCGTTCATATAATTACTATSCAATCATCATCATTAKCATTATTACCGTCATCATCGTGAAGTAAAAACATTTATTATTGGTTGTTATTATTATTAATTAAATCAATGAAGAAAACTATCATAGGTATATGTTTTGACTCCACACGATAGCAGATTWGTCATATTTACTGTCGCGACATTCAAACTGTGACCAATCAAGCAAGCTGTGTTTCTAATCCACGAGTAACGTAGCTTCCGTATTGTAGCATTTTACATCAAGAATTTTTACCGCTATACTTTACTAAAAAACGATCAACATAACGCCTCCACTTCCGGTTATATACCGACGAGCTGTACCGGAAGTACGTCAAACAAAAGAAGATTGACAACCGTGTAACAGTAAAAGGGGTTCGCTTCCGGTCGTAGGATCTTCTGCGGTCACGTTTTGTTTTGAATGTTTACACCAAACAGAAAAAATACGCTACGTAGTAGAAGAACAATTTGAACAACAAAACAACACCCAGTATGAAAAACACTTACTGACTGCTGTGCTAATAGAAACCATATTCAATTTGTAAAATCAGATCAAGTAGCAAGCAACTGTAGAAATAGCAGAAATAGTTGTTTGTGAAGAGTGGTGTTGAGCTAAGGTCGTCTTTAACTATCGACACTCATTTGAATATCGGAAATAAGGTTTGACCGACCGTCTGGCGCGCTTTTTCCCGACGATAAATTTCATCACCTCATCAACTATTCCATCTTCCTTGATTTCAGTCGATAAAAGATTTTAAAATCTTGAATCGCTGTGTTTTAATGGTTGGTTGTGATTAATTGAGTCCAATTGCAATAAACATATTTTAACAACACACTGCTGAATCCKTATATCTCTAACGGTGTTGAATTTCCGTGTCATCGAACATGTCARCCAATAATTACATGACATATTCCGCTATGCACACATATATCTATCGATATCTCACATATCTTTTTACATGCAAAATATTTATCAAGGTTGAAAATAAATATACTGAGCAAATAGCTGCAAAATGCAATAATCGTTGCTATGCTGTTCCTTTCTGTGGAACGTTTACATTTTGTGCAATTATTTTTAACCGGGTTTTTAATAACCAATAACKGAATCATTGGTACTTTGGTATTTTKGCATATTCGGTCTTTAAAAAGACRTTGTCGGAAATATCTCGAAAAAGRGATAGAATTAGCGTACACGACTAACCGCCAGTCTATGCACGCAAGAAATGAGCGAGGTGTTTCCCAGAGGTCAACCAAAAGTCACACTGAAATTGGAATCAAATGTTGTCACGATTATCGCAGACGTTTTATTTTTAGCATGGAAACTCATCTAGGTTTGTAATGTTCGCCCTCGCGTCTCGGACGCAAGTCCTGTTTTTACGTTAATCTTGTCTGCGACTGCCTACACAAGATGCTTTACCCATGAAGCACGTAAACACACCTCGTATCCAATCACGATCTCTCGGGTGAGTTGTTTGTCACTTAATTTTCCCACTATGATGCCGGCCGTGTTACAATTTCAAACATTTCAAAGTCTTGTTACGCGTGACTAGTAAAGTTAGCTCACGCGCTTAATTAAAGAAAACATYTCAAGTGTATTTASAAAAGTTTGCGGTTTTTCGGTATGTATCTTGCGGGAAACGAAGTGATAGTTTGACATTTCGTATTTCACACCCTTTCCGTATCGAATAGCAAACTGGCCAATCAAAAAACAGGCTTCATGTTATCATCACGCCGCAAGAACGACCCTTTGCTCTGATTGGTTGATTAATTCCCAGTTAGCCAATCATAGCGAGTGTTTAGATGAACGTCACGCTGTACCGGTGCGAGGTTTGCTAACTTTACACACCGTCAAGAATTATTTATGCCAATCTCCTCTAACTTGGCACCAGATTTATGTAAGACTCGAGAAGTACCTTTACTTTCTACACGATACAACATGACAGAGCAAAACGTAGCAGTCCCAACTACAATTGATGGAGAGACATCTCAAGTTAGAAGTCACCAGTTAAGCAATGCTATCGCATCAGCTGTTAATAATGTACTCGATGGGTACGACTGGAGTCTGATCCCTCTCCCAGTAAGAGTAAATGGAGGACATAAACAAAAAGCTCACGTTAAAAGACCGATGAACGCATTCATGGTATGGGCACAGGCAGCAAGGCGTAAACTAGCCGACCAATATCCACACTTACACAATGCCGAACTTAGTAAAACACTCGGGAAACTATGGAAACTTTTGAACGATTCAGAAAAAAAACCCTTCATTGAAGAGGCTGAAAGRCTSAGAATCAAACACAAGAGAGARCACCCTGATTACAAGTACCAACCAAGACGAAAAAAACAGAAGGGGAATGGTGTTGGTGAGTCAGGAGACTCGACCATCTCAGCAGATGATTTGTTGAAAGTATTGAAGGGGGACAGTAAGCTAATGTCGGATAGCTGTGAAAACGGTACAGCAACAAGTTGTGCAAGTCCTGAGAGCATCAGTGGCAGTGATATTAGTAGCAGCGAATCTGCACCAAGTCCTGAAAACCAGACAAACATTGAGTCAGCTGTCAAGGTAGAAAATGAACTCACACTTGATTCTAATGCAATTAACTTCACGTCTTGCTCAAAGAAATCCGACAACACTTCCCATGCTATCGACTTTGATATGGATTTTACTACCGACTTTATGACAATGGGCGATGTGGACAGTACAGAGTTAGACCAGTACCTACCAACCTATACACAAGCCCTACTAGAGCCAACTCCAGTAACTACAGCATCACTACCAACAACACAGATCAACACTACACCTAAAKGTAATGTAAAGATAACTCCATGTGCTCAACCATCAGTCACACAGCAGTCTTCTGTACCTCCCAGCTACACCGAGTTCATGGCACAGCTTCAGAAACTCCCCACTGAGAGGAGTTTTCCCCCGAATCGTGTTGCACCGTCRGCTACTATGCAACAACGCAGACAAGTCGACTCGAATGCTGCTTTCTTTCCTTTTTCTGAAGCAGATGTCACCTTAGCAGCTCAGCCTCCTCGGCCGCAGTTTGTATCATTGCCGACGTCGATGAAAACTGTTTCTTTGCAACATCCTACAACGACTCGTGGACGAACCCATACACTGGTGTGGAAATAAATTATTGAATCCTAACCAAGAAAAACACACGAGTCACGACGTTCTAAGCCCTTTATCTTAGCATATATCTAAGATGCCTGCACGAGATGAAACATTTGGACACGAAAGATGAGAGAGTGCAGGAAAAACAGCAACTTTTGACACATTCATGGCGTTGCATAATAAACATGTTTTGACTATGATTATATTTGTAAATATTGAATCCAGGATGAATAACTGACAGTAGACAACGTTACGTAGATGTTCGCAGACTTTGGATGTTTTTGAAAACTCTCACTAAAAATTTCTTGTAATTTAATACCTAGAGTAGTAATACGAAGATGGCCTGGGGTTTTTAACATTACCCAGAACAATTCTGCAGAAATGGAGAAATAGTTGTAGACTTGTTTTAAAGTCCTTGCTTAGTCATATTACGTTTATTTAGGTTTGAAATGAAATATGAACTATTTACATTAAAAACATTTTGAACACTTAAAGTGGCTGTTACTATCTATAATTATAGTTTCATTTTGTCAATTAAATTACATTTAACATTTGATTGATTTAATTATTTTGACTGAACTCATTCTAAAATTTAATTCAGTATTTGATCTGTTGTGTGATTTTCAATGAATTTCTCTATGAATATTGAAGTTTTCCGCAAAGCAAAAAACTTGTTATATATTGCAACAACTGTAAATTCCATAACTTTAAGAGGTTACAACATCAGTTAGTTATATTAAAACCTACTTACAAAATACTTCAACAGCAAACTAGCAATGTTAGATTATCGCTGTTATTTGATAGCAAGTTCAAGAAATAAGCTTCCTTTTAAGATTTTAACCTTAAGGTCACCAAGTTGGTTTCGTTTGAATTGGTACATTTATTAATAACTATAAACCACAATGCTTCTTGGCTGAGTACCGAATTTTCATGGATAACTATCATGACATTAGTGGTTTCAATGGCATATCGAATGGGTTTTGATAGACACGAGGGGGCATATGTTGGGTTCCACTCCCCGCCATTAAATATCTTGTTGTAATTAACAAGAGATAAAACTTTATCTCGTTGGGTGATATTCGATGAACCGTGAGAGTTGCCTTTGAGCATTTCATTCTCTCACAATCTCGTGCATGCAGACACGACCTCACAATGAATGAGATTGTCACCAAACAACTGTTGTCATCTGCTGCCAGAGAACCTCTCTCTGCAGCAAAACACCTGTGATKCATGGCCAAGCCGACCACTATGCTGTCAGGAAAAGAACCGATAAGCCATTACTTGAAGCAYGAACTTTGAGTGGACACGAATGCAAATCTTTCACTCAGAAAAACACGAGAAAAGTAGCCTGATTTCCTTTCTAGCCACATGAATTTTTAAGGCTTAACGAAAGGGCGAGCTGCGTTTAGTAGATAGGGGGGAGGTAAAAGGGCGTATAAAAAAGAGACACGCTCATTGAATTACCACCGGGGCAGAGTGGCTGCACGGAGAGTATCGCTATCTACCGGATAAATCTCTATCAAGTGGATAAAACACAAGCAATGAACACACAACAGTAACATCACTGAGACCACCACTGAAGGACAAGGTCCACCGTCACGATAGAAGCAATCTTAGCTGAGCAATCTAGCATGAGTACTTTGAGCCTCCCTTCTCATACACACGTCTTAAGAATAATGTTTAATGTTTTATATACATGTTTAACCTGGTTCACATTTCTTATTCTTCTGCTGAGATTGTCGTGAYCRTRTTCTCTAATTTTTTYTTTATTTTTTTGACACTTGACCAGACCGGTGCGCGAAGACTTTGTAGCCCCTAGCGTTGGAGCTGCGTTGGAGCGGTCCGTTGTTTATTGCCCAGCACACTGGCATTCTGTTGTCTGCCATGAAAAAACTATATCTTTTTTATTAAGCCGTTTGTTTACTTCACGTCAAATAATGGTAAAATGTAGCAGCCGATAATCACAAGGGTCATACAACACTTAAAGATATCATAACATCATATAAATAACATGTATGGACAAGGATGCCGAGGATAATTTAGCTTATATACATTTATTGATAATTCTATAAATGATATTGACACTTATTATAATCGTCTAAATCGTCCATATCATACAAGAACGTTTTAGCATTGTTCTMTCTTCTTCAAGGAAATTAACAACAATGCAAAGCGACCTTTGAKAGGGTTACATAACATAGGCCTAATAATAATAGTGAATGTGTCATCAATTTCATGGCAAATGTTGATTATCAGCAATGAAAGTAATTGTATTGATACTAATAACGATGATATATATCATCCAACATTTCGGCAATAAACGACTTGGTCCTATACTAAATATTATGACTCTTACAAGTTAATTAACCGGCAATAAACAAAGACCTTGCAAGGTTATGCATTTTATAGGGTTATATTATCATCTTGATGGTTAGATAACAAATCATGCACGCAATGAGACATAAACACAGATAGAACAGATAGAAAACCGAGGTCAAGGTTGAC